ATGATGATGATGATGATGGTGATGGCAAAGTTGAAGATGATGATACGATGGCCAAAACGAACAGGAACACCGACGACAACAGCAAAGACTGCGGATTGAAGAACAAGTAGATGTTGCAGAAGAATATTTTGAAGAACGAAAAACAAGAAACACCAAATGAGCAGATAGGGGTGGCAGTAAAAAAAAAATCAAAAAATTTTCACGTGCAAACCACAAACCCAAGCAGCAAATCATTTTACGACAAACGACATATACTCTGAGCCCAAAACTATCAGCATCAACAGCAATATCGGCACCTGTATCTTCTGCATCATTATCATCATTACCAAAAGCGTTTCAGTGTCAGCATTAGCAGTATTTTCATTCTGTTGGTGCTGCTGCTACTGTTGTTGCTGTTACTGATTTGCACCTTTTCCAAAGTAAACACATTTTTTTGATCCATTAACAGTTTCTTCTCAGTTTACGTTGCAAATACATATTAGATACATGCAAATTTTTTTTCCCCTTCTATTTTTGCTTTAGCTTTTGACTATTTTTTTTCCTGCGCTAAAAACACCCCCTTTTTTTCCAGTTTCATACGATACATATATTTATACATAGGCAGCATTCCTTTCTTTTTTTAACACAATTTTTTTTCAGTCTATTTTTTTTTCCCTAAATTAATTAACTGTTTGATCAGTGAACAATTTTGATTTTAACAATTAGTTCCTGTTTCTTGCTTGACATATAGAAGTAAAATTTTTTTATATGTATTATTGCATCCTGGCAATAAACTGTACTTTATCCCGGTAAATTGAATAAATGAAGAAAAAAATTCCACAACAATTGATACCACCAACATCGTTGTCATCGTCGTCTCATTACCATCGTCATCATCCGCGACGAAACAAATTGCAGGACAGGGAAAAGTAACATAAACAGCAGTAATAGCAGCAGCAGTAGAATTATTGCATAACAATTCTTTGGGTAAATAATTTTTGGTGAACAACACAGAACCAGGAAACAAGTTTTGCGGTTATACGCGTTTCTTGGGTGGAACCTCGGCCGTGAGAAGAACTTTAAAAATGTTGAGAAAAAAAAATTTTTTTTGTTAACTTTTAATTCTTCCAAAGTTAAAACTATTTATTTGTTCCATTAGTAGCAGCAGTAAAGCATTTTTTTGTAAACCGTATAACATGGAAAAAAAAAACAAGATAAACATGAAACTTTTTCTTTCTTAAAAATCAAAAAGTTAATCTAATAACAGGTTAAACAATATATTTTTTAGAACAGATAAATACACTACTGTTGCTAAAATTATTACCACCAATATTATAGATTTCATTCAGTGTAAAAAAATATAGGAAAAATAGATGTTGGATATATGTATCCAACAGTTATTTTACACATGTCAAACGGTATTTGTTCATTTAAACAACCGATACTGTGATCACACAGACGATGCGTGAAACTCAGACGTAGGCAACAACGAAGGGGAAGCAAAAAGCTTCGACAAAACTGTTGAAATTCATGAACAAAGTTTAAAAAAAAAAACAAAAATTTTAGACTAAAAATCTTTTTTTGTTTTTGTTCCTTCCAAAATAAATTACCAACTGGAGAAACTGTTTAAGCACTATTTTCTCAGGCAGTCATTGATATTAATCAAAGCAAACAGAAAAAAACAAATAAATAAAAAATAAAAATTTTGGCAAATTTTATGATAAAATTTTGTTAAATTATCCTCAATAAAAATAGCATTCCTTCAAAATAAGAAAAAAAAACAGAACCTATTGATCCTTTAAAATGTGGACAAATTGATTTTTTTTTTTCTTTTCCTTCGTAACATATTTAACTGTCATTTATCTACTCCTTCTCTTTTTTTTTTTCTGTTCTCATCTGTTCTCATTTGTTGTCATTATTTTTTCACAGGGAAAAAAAACTACATAAAACAACAAAAAACAACAGCAGTAGCGTTGGCACTGAGAAACACTAAAAATTGATCTTAAAAAATTGATAATGACGCTCAAAAGTTGGCTGACAGTAACTAACTGATGGTTTCTACGCTCGATTAGATAAATGAAACTACACGTGTCCTGTAAATAACAAACAGAATAAATCAACAGAAAAAAAGCATTGCTTTTCTCGGGTTTATTTATCAACAGTTAAATACCGGCAATGGAAAAAGACGAGAACACTGTCTAAAAAAAAGTAAAAAGCAAATAGCACAAAAAAAAAGAACTAAGGAAAACAAGAATTGTATGAGCACAAAGATAAACGTAAATAAACGAAGACAGGATTCCACAGAATTGTCAGCAACAAAAAAAAAGGTTAAAAAAAAAAGAAAAAACAAAGAACAAGGAAAGCAGTTTTCGTTGATATATTAATAAATTCCACACTTCAACTATCTCTTTTTTTTTTTTTTTTTTACCAATCCTTCAATTAAACCACACACACACACAGTATAATTTTAACAACTGCTTTCACTGGAACACTTTAACCAAATTAAACTAATTCTTCAATTGCATAAACTTTACCAATATTTCAATTAACTTTTTGGCTACGCAAATGCATATAAAAAGGGAGAGAGAGAGCGAAAAGGGGGAAGCATTTAAATACACTGATAGACACTAAGATACAGAATAGTATCTACGAAAACTGCTATATTTGCTCGAAAGGGTAAAGTTCAATTTTCAAAGGCAGTGCAAAACAAGGTTGGAAACATGGGAAGCAAAATACACTAAACAGTACGGATAATAGATATCCAATACCGTATGTCAGCGACCCCACTTTGCTATCTTCCAAAAAGTTGCCGTATAAGTCCTGTTGAACACTCACTAAACAACATCATTGGAATACAAAGTTTATTTGTTTTGAAAGTAAAAAACAAAAAAACAAAAAAACAAAAATAAGAAGAATGGAAAAATTTTTACACTGAGGAAAACGTCTATAAGAATAAGTAAGATTTTAGTTGAGAAAAGGTTTTTTTCTTGTCAAAAACTAGTTTATTGCAACAATTTTTTCCCTTATCCATTTTGAAGCACGTGTTTATCCCTTTTTTTCTCATCTTCTTCATCTCCTTCTTTTTCTTCTTCATCTTCATCTTTAAATGACCGCTTTAAAATAAAAAAAGAAACAACAAAGCACAAGGAAGAAGAATAAAAAAACCAAATAATCTCGATGAATTTCAACATATGCCTAATAAATAAACAACTACTGAATAATCTGTCCGATTATTCACCGGCTCATTCCTTTCTTCATTCATTTTTTCAATTCATTCGTTTGTCTGCACCATTACACGAAATAAACATATATATAAATGTTATATATATATATATATATATATATATATATATATACGCAGACATAAAGATAACATTAAATTCAGTAACATCTGATAGAGACAAAAGCTTTTTTCCTCCATTCCCTTCCCCCTTTCTCTTCCCCTTCTCCCCTATCACGTCCTCCCATTCTTTGAATTTGGAAAATAGCAGACAATATGAACCAAACGATAAAACAGAAAACTTGCAGATTTTCTCAGAATAAAACAAGAATCGGAAATACAGGAATAGTGACTATTAAAAAGTTATACAT